TTTCAATTTTAAATTAATTAAAATTAAATTAAAAGCATGCACCACCATGCCCAGCCATTAGCCACATTGTAAGTGCTCGCAGTGGCTGCCATATTGGACAGCACAGCTCTAGACTATAAATTTAATGGCAGAACAACATGGTCTACTCGGTGTGGTGGGAGCGAGGTGGGGCATGAGGTTGGAAGAAACTGTAAAGGGTATCAAAGATGACCCTCTAAGTGAGGCTACTGAGGCTGTGGATATGCTTGGGAAGATAAGCGGAGAAGTAGGTTTGAGCCAGAAAATGGTGTGATAAAAATAAGTTTGTATATGCTTTCATTTAAATAGCTACAGCCACACTGTGTTCAGGAGATAATTACACATCCATATTTGTGATTTCAGAGAAAGTTCAGGATGGAGATAAAAGCAAGGGAACCACTAGCTCAATAGTTGTGGCCAGATAATTCACTGGAAAGAAGGACATCAAGGGTCATTGAGCTGAGCTGGAGAAATACAGCAGTTACATGAGGCAATACACGTCCAGACCACACGGTGGCGCACTTGTGGAGTGGGAGGAAAAGTTAGACCCAGAGGCACACGCCTGTACTCAGCGCCAGCCTGGGTGTACACGCAAAATGTGGCAATAAAGCTGAGCTGAAATAAGCCTGTTTTACTTCTTAACCTTAAATCTTTCCTTCCTGTTTTCCCCCTCCTCCCTGGATTTGGATTTTAAAATCTGAGGCCTGAAATCCCAGTACCTGCTGACAGGGCAGGCAGAGCTGCAGAGACCCACTACTGCCTCTCTACTCCTGACATCATGCCTCAGGCCCCAGGCCAGTTTCCCAACCAGCCTCGGTACTTCGTTGAATATTGTTGTTTAATTTACTCCAATTTGAAAAAGAAAAAAATAACTTTTTATATGACATTTCACTGAGAAGCAAAAAAACAAAAACAAAAACAAACATTGGCAGAGTATGAAAATGCTGATAGCAAGGCCTTAGAACTTTAACCTAAAATATCACAATTCTATATAATAAAAAGCAAACGATAATTCTGTCAGTTCCAGAAACGGAAACTTAGGCTTATAAAGATCTGTGCTTATAATAGACTTTCTAGTCATTGTTCAATGGTCACAGTTTTCTTACCTGATATTTAAAAACCATTAGCTCATAAGCATTTTTATACCCTATACCTTTCTTTCATTAATGCAGTCATATTATTCTCTTACCAAAGCTTTCATCCCATTTAATTTCAAGAATCTTCCTCTCATTTAATATTCTCTACTTTAAAAGAATCCTTCTTATACTCCTAAAGTTTTTGCACAAACTTCCAAACAGAATAACTTACCCGTGGTGACAGGGGCTGTGGTGGTGACAGGCTGTGCTGTGGTTGTAGGCAGTCTTTTTGGCCTGAATTTGTAGTGACCAATAAACCCATCTGCAGTTAAACTTAAGTCTGATAAAAACTGAATAAGAAGTTCATTTCTCTCAGATACAATTGGCCTAAAAAAAGAAAAATGTGTTTTTAAATATACATGTAAATAAAGTGGTGCCTCTCTGAAAATGTAACATTTTCTAGTTTCCCATTAACTTCTGACAATAGATTACCAGTTGTTTAAACTTAAAACATTTAAAAATACCAATTCTAATAGCTCACATTCACTGTTTGCTCATCTAGGCACTGTGCTTTATGTGAACTGTCACAGCTCACCCTCACAACTCTATTCTTCTCTTTTTTATGGAGCAGGCAACTGAAGTTCAGAGAGTTCAAGTGATTTGCTCAAGGCCCTATAGCTAGTAGGTTGGGAAAGTCAGAACTTGAACCCAGGACCAGGCAACTCTAGAGACTGTGGCAAATGTTGGGACCTGGCTGGTTTTCCAAAAGCACCTCATGGTTTGCCTGATTGGGAAAATGCAGATTCTTTGAACTAAGACTCTTGAGTTCAAGCTGGCCTGGGTTTGCCACATGTTGGCTACAGAGCATAAAATGGACAAATCTGGTGAAAAATTCCCACACCCTGTAAAGACACACACAGAGGGGTGATCTCAGTGGGCTGATTATCTTTTCTATCCACTCTGGGCTAAGAAAGCCATGCAAAGGACTTCCATTTCATTTCAGTGGCAGTTCTTAGGTACGCCTCAAATGGAAACATTTCTGTTATAATCTCCATTAGCAAAATGCTGTAAAGGAAAAGAAAGTGATGAATCTGTTTTGGCGGTCAGGAATCACATCACTGATTAGGAGCTCTAATTTTAGGAGCTTCCTGGTTAATTGGCACTAAAGGTTTAGTAGAGATGATCACTGAGGCTCAAAAGCTCTCTTAAATCTTAAGGGATTTACTGTATCATACAAGATAGTTTCATTTAAGTTTTGCTATTGTTATTTATACAGTGGTAAAAAAAAGCTGTCTGATTAATGCTGTTTAAAAACTAATTAAAAGATAGGAAAAAATTTAATAAGTTATTTAAATGAATTAGCCAGTGGTTTCACTGAACACCTTTTTTGAGACATCTTCTCAGCCAATCGCTTCTTAAGCATCGTGGACAGCAAATAATAAGGCACCTCTTTTTGTTTATTTTCCTAGTGTCAGCTATGCTGAGTAGGGTTGGATGGTAGAGAGGGTAGATGTACCTGACCCAACCAGTTAGAAAAACTGCATGATCCTTTCCGTCTTGAATATAACACCTTGAGCCAGGGGATGGGATGAATCAAAAAGTGAGCTTTGTGATGTACATTTGTAGTTTGTTATGGGTTGAATATTTGTCTCCTCCAAAACTCACGTTGAAATTTAATGCCCAGTGGGGCAGTATTGAGAAATGGAACCTTTAAGAGGTGATTGGGTCATGAGGGCTCTGCCCTCAAGAATGGATTCATCCATTAACAGATTAATGGTTAAATGGGTTAATGGATTAATGAGTAATCATGGGAGTGGGATTGATGGCTTTATAAGAAGAGAGACCTGAGTTAGCATGTTCTGCCCCCTTGCCATGTGATGCCCTGTGCCACCTGGGGACTTTGCAGAGTCCCCACCAAAAAGGCTCTCCCCAGATGTGGTCCCTTGACCTTGGGCTTCTCGGTCTCTGTAACTGTAATAAAGAAATTCTTTTTCTTTATAAATTACCCAGTTTCAGGTATTTTGTTATAGGCAACACAAAACGGACAAAGACAGTTCCAGCCACAAAAGTGATCAGGTCATTTAAATAATGCTTCTGAGAGTCAAGCCTTTCATGACAAAATCACAAAAAGCGCTTATAAGCAGCAAAGGAAAAAAAAGACTCAATCAGGTCAGCTTTCTAGACATGATGTTATAATTATATGATCATTTACTGCTTTTTCTATGAATTAACCTTGGGGTACTATACTGAAAGCTGAACTTTCTCATGGAAGAGTATTTTAGGAACAAAGATATATTTTTATTATGCTGCAACTGAGCTTTAGGATAAATGTGACAGAATCATAGTGCACAAATGTACTGGGGGCCATGTTACGCCTGCAAATTAATGTTCTAAATCACTAGGAAGATAAGAGGAAATTTCACTTAGATCCACTCTGCATTGGCTAATCCCAAGAATGGATTGAGATGCTGTTTCATGTGGTATAGAGCCAGTTACTGTTACCTGTCTCTAGTTATCACTCCACACTCTTCCTGTCCTTCAGTCACTACAGCCATGTAGTGTCCTGCCAGTTTTGCTTCGTAAATATTTCTTGATCCACATCCTCCTCTTCATCTCCACCATCCTTCCCCACCTCCTTGACTTTACCTGGACCACTGCAACAGCGTCCGAACTAGCCTCCCTGCTCACCTTATCTAGGGCAGGGGTTCTAGAGCCTCTGGTCCTGTCATACCTGGCTTCAATTCAGTTGAGTGCTCCCATCTCTGTAGCTCACAGAAGCCAACTCAACCCTCCTGCCTCATTTCTATGGAGGCCCCAAATCAAGGTTTTGGCTACAGAAATAACATACATCTCTCCTGTGCATCTTTATTAATGGAGATACCTCTGTTTGGAATGAGCCTCTCCTCCCTTCTGTCTCTAACTCCAACTCTTCCTTCAAGACTTAGCTTCGAGAGGCACGATCTCCTTTCAAAAGCTTCCCCTGATCACTTGTCCAGACTGGGCCGAAGAACTCAGAAACCCACCCAGGACATTCATTAACCAGTTGACTTAACTGCCTTGTTTTGTTCCCTCCCATTACTTACCTCTGCAGTTTTAATTTATTTTTGTATTCCAGGTGCCCAGCACATAGCCGGGGAATAATCAATGTTTCTGAACACAATTCAATGGCATTGATGCTACACTGAATCTAACACAAGTCTATCTATCCCCAGTGCTCCTCCTGTTCATATTTTTAACAGGGAAAAGCTCCCCAGACAGGTTTTCTCATTTTCTGCACTGCTCTAACCCAGAAGTATTCTAACTATGAGAAATATTCCTCTGGATAAGAGTGTTAGTCAGTGAGCTGGCAGCCAAGCTCTTCCAGTCAAACCCTTGGGAAATGAGTGACGCTCAATAGCCGCCACTAGTGCCGCCCCTCCTCCACCCTCATGGAGGCAGCCGCTACCCTGAATTTTGTGCTTATCATTTTCTTGTTTTTAGCCATAGGTTTATCACACACCATGCATCATTATGCGATATACTGTATAGGTTTGAGTGTTTTTAAATGTCATAAATAAAGGTTATTGTGTACATTTTTCTTTTCTTGTTTTGTGTTGTGTGTTTTTTTTTAAAGACATTCAGCATCACAATCAGACTATTACATTTAGCAATCAACAGCATGGGGGCAAAAAAAAAAAAACTACATTAAAACCCTTTGTTGAAATGTTTTACACTTTCCACAGAACAGAAAATAAAATAACCTGTTATACAATTAGACAGAAATACAGTCCTCGAGTTTTTTGCCCATACACATACATGAGCATTTGTCTAAATCATGTCTTCCTTATAGCAGCTAGGCCCGGCCACCACTGTGCTTGGCTGAGTTCACAAATCCGTTATAACCTGTAGCTTCCCTGTCAGTTCTCTGGCTCTCCTCTCCTGCTAAGCTTTGTTTCCTAATTAAAATCTGCCACTGCCATAGCTACTGCTGCTACTGGAACAACCATAGCCACCTTGGTTTAGTGGCTTGGCAAAGTATTGGCCTCCACCAACACAGGGGCCAGAGCTTCTGCCTCCAAAGTTTCCTCCCTTCACGGGTCCAAAACTTGAAGACTGATTGTTGTAATTGCCAAAATCTTTGTAGCTTCTACCACCTCCAACACTGCTTCCATCATTACCAAATCCATTATAGCCATCCCTGCTGCCACCAAGGCCACCACAACCACTGAAGTTCCCTCCATGACCAGTGGTCATTCCCACCAAAACCACCACCACGGCCACCACCAAAGTTTCCAGAACCACTTCAACCTCTTTGGCTGGATGAAGCACCAGCCAGCTCTTGCTTTGACAAGGCTTTCCCAACTTCACAGTAGTGGCCACTCACAGTATGGTATTTCTTAATGAGAGTCTTATCCATGGAGTCATGGTCGTCAAAGGTTACAAAGGCAAAGCCCCTTTTCTTGCCACTGCCTCTGTCAGTAATGATTTCAATCACTTCGACTTTTCCATACTGTTCAAAATAGTCTTAGGTGATGTTCTTCAGTGTCTTCTTTAATGCCACCAATAAATTTTTTTTTTCACAGTTAAGTGGGCACCTGGTCTTTGAGACAGCTCTCTTTGGTTCCACAACTCTTCCATCCACCTCATGTGGCCTTGCGTTCACGGCTGCATCCACCTCCTCCACAGTGGCATATGTGACAAACCCAAAGCCCCTGGAGCACTTGGTGTTTGGATCACTCATTACCACACAGTCCGTGAGCGTTCCCCATTGCTCAAAATGGCTCCTCAGGCTCTCATCAGTTGTTTCAAAGCTCAACCCTCCAACGAAGAGCTTCCTCAGCTGTTCAGGCTCTTTAGGAGACTCTAACTTAGACATGATTGCAGGGAGAGGAGAGATTTTAACGATGCTTCTTCGGCAGCATCCATGAGCAGAAAGCTTGTGTTGTGTTTTTGAGACAAGGTCTCAGCTCACTGCCACTTCTGTCTTCCAGGTTCACAGGATCTTCCCACCTCAGCCTCCTGAGTAGCGGGGATTATAGGCAGACAGGCCCTACCAGGCATCGTTAATTGTTTTGTATTTTTAGAGACAGGGTTTTTACCGTGTTGCCCAGTCTGGTCTCGAACCTCTGAGCTCAAGTGATCCGCCCACCTTGGCCTCCCAAAGTGCTGGTATTACACACGTGAGCCACCACAACTGGCCTTTATTATTACTATTTTTTTAACCCTCAACATTAGAACTGAGAATTATCCACTGTTCTCATTGCTAGGTAATGTGTAGCATAACACAATTTAACTATTCTCTTGTTGATAAACATTGGACTATTTACTTTCTCCCACCTTCATTACAAACCACATTGCTGAGAACATTCTTGTATATGTCTTGTGGTGCAAAAGTGGTCGTACCAATTTACACACCTTTCAAAGGGTTATTCTGTGTGCAGCTTTCTTTTGGGAATGCCTTTTCATGTCTTTTACCCCCCTGTTTTTCCTACTGGATGGTTACCTTTTCCTTATTAATTTTTAGGGTTTCTTAATATATTCTGGAACCTAGGCCTTTGTCAAATATATGTTATAAATATGTTTCCATTTGTGCCTTTTCTTTCCCTCTCTTTTAGGTACATTCTGATGAACAGGAATTCTCATCTAAGTTTTTCATTTAAGTTTCTAATCCATCTATCATTGATTTTTTGTGTGATATTAGCTATGAATATAATTCCATTTTTCCATATGAATAAAAATAGACTTGGCCCCATATATCAATGAGGCCATCATTTTCCTGCTACCTGATGGTTCTCTGTGACATGCCCAATCTGCAGATACATGTGGATATGTTTCTGGCCTCTCCTTGCTGTTTAATTAGCCAGTCTGCCCATCTCTCTTTTAAAACCACACTGTCTTAATCACAACAGCTTTCTGATAAGGCTCTATACATGGTAAGGCAAGTCTTCTTGCCAGGTTCTTCTCCTTCAGAACTGTCTTACTTTCGCCCCCTTCTTCCTATCCGCTTGCAATCCCATGTACATTTTAGAATTGGACTGCTAGGCTTAATGGAAAATCAGTTTTAATATTTTTAAATGATATTGAGTCTTCCTGTTCATGAGCATTATATATAGCTCCATTCATTTAGATCTTTAAAAATATATTTTAGTAAGGTTTTATAATTTTCCCTGTTAAGGTACAACATTTTTATACTTATTCTTTTTTTTTTTTTTTTTTTTTTTGAGACGGAGTTTCGCTCTTGTTACCCAGGCTGGAGTGCAATGGCGCGATCTCGGCTCACCGCAACCTCCGCCTCCTGGGTTCAGGCAATTCTCCTGCCTCAGCCTCCTGAGTAGCTGGGATTACAGGCACGCACCACCATGCCCAGCTAATTTTTTGTAGTTTTAGTAGAGACGGGGTTTCACCATGTTGACCAGGATGGTCTCGATCTCTTGACCTCGTGATCCACCCGCCTTGGCCTCCCAAAGTGCTGGGATTACAGGCTTGAGCCACCGCGCCCGGCTATACTTATTCTTGAGCAATATTTTTATTGTTTTAAAAATAATATATTTTTAATAATACAAACTTTTAAGTTCATGCTATTTAAGAAAATATATTTGTGAATAAAATGATGTTTCCAATAAATAATGTTAAGTCCACAAGTCATGCTTTAATGTCTGACTGTGTAAGGTATAACATTAAATTAATAAAGTATTTAAGTTCAAACCAACCTTGAATTCCTGGTCGTAGTGTTTTCTATACATTGCTAAATTTGGCTTGCTAAGTTTTTTGTTTCAGGATTTCTTTTTTATCACATTGATAAATGAAATTTGTCTCTAATATTCTTTTCTTGTACTGTCCTTATCTTGTTTTGGTGTCAAGTTTATACTAGCTTTAGAAGATTAATTGTAGAACAATCCCTATTTTTCTTTGGAAGATTCTGTACAGTGACCAAAATATCTGTACCTCAAATATTTGTCAGAACTTTTCTTTCCTTGATAGGAAAACTTTTAACTACTGATTAAATTTCTTTAGTGGTCATTTGGCAAATATGGATTTTTCCTTCTCCTGTGTCCATTTTTGCTTGAAAAGAATATAGTTTCTCCAGTTGTTGGATGTAGTATTCTCTATTTGTCTATTAGACCAAGGCTGTTCATTGTTTTTCAAATATTCTACCTCCTAATTTCCCATCTTTCTGTCATTTAGTTAATCTGTTAATTGTTGAAAGAGATGTGTTAAAAATCTCTAATTGTGAACTTTGTAGATCTGCCTTTTAAATTTTTTTTGCTTCATATAATTTTATGTACAAGTTCACAATTTTACAATTATTACACCTGCCTGATAAATTGCATCTTTATTGTTATATAGCAACTATTTCTGGTAATGCTTTCTGCCTAAAATTGATTTTTTCCTGATATCAATGAAGCTATGCCAGTTTTCCTTCAATTAGTGTTTGCTCCTAATTGTTTTATATTTATTTGAATATGAAAAGAAGGAGAGACATGGAAGAAGAGCTGGAACAGGACAGAGAGTCAACAGAGTTTATAACTTTTTTTTTAAATTTTTTTATTTTAATTTGGGAGAACTTAGGTCTATAGGCTATGGGGAAGGAATAAAAAGGGAGGTAGACACTAAATATGAAGAAAAAGCGGAGAGTTATTCATGTAGAAAAGTTTCAAGGGAAAAAAGGAGGAGGTCCAAAGGAAGACATAGATGAATGTGTTGGCTTTCAAAAGGGTTGGTGACCCCAACAAGGTCCACATCCTAATCCCTGGACCCTGTAAATATGTTACTTTATATGGCAAAGGGGTTTTACAAATGTGATTAAGACTCCTCAGAAGGGGAGAGTGTCCTTTATTATCTAGGTAGGCCCTAAATGTAACCAAAAGTGTCCTTATAAGACTGAGATTTGACTAAGAGGAGGAGACAGAAGAAGCGATGCTTTTACCGATGAAGGAAGAGGGCTACAAGCCAAGGCATGCAGGCAGACTCTAGAAGCAGAAAAAACCAAGGAAACAGATTCTCTCTCAGAGCTTTCAGAAGGAAACAGCCCTGCCAACACCTTGACTTTAGTCCAGTGACACTGACTTCAGACTTCTGGCTTCCAGAAGTGTAAGACAGTGCATTTGTGCTGTTTTAAGTCACTGCAGGTGTGGCAATTTGTTACAGCAGCAATGGGAAAAGAATCTTCTAGGAACTTAGAAATAGGCCCTTCTCCAACATATTCATTTGTAAAGCCAAATTTGGGTGTGGTGATGCTTAAATTATAACTACTATCTTGTATGCATTAAAACATTCTTAATATTATCAACATAAATATAAATGAATTGAAATAGAAAAATATCCTGCTTTAACTCAAATGTCTATGAAAAATCACAGTAATGCATATAAAATTAAGTGATGCATATAATGTAATTATGTTTAAGCAACAGAGTAGAAAAGGGCATTTAAATTGGCAGAATGGTGACTTTGAAGGCAAGCTGCAGTAAATTCAACTGTTGCTTTTACTAATATTGCATGTGAAGTTGTGAAATATCTTACACCAAAATAGTTATATATTGCACCAGAATATAGCAGAATTAAGTACTTGCTCAGTGTCACACAGTTAATAATGTCACACAGTTAAGTGGTAGAACTCTTGGCTCCATAAATGTTTGTTGAATAAATACATGGTGTCTTCAAGGTCCACTTTGCAAAACTTTGGGTAGCAATGTCCAGGACAGATCTCTGATAAAGTAAAATCATTTGGATTTGTCGTAAACTTCTGGGTTTCCTTGTCTGGATCCCCAGTATTTAGCCCCCTGGTTGTTTTTGTGTTGTTTTATTTTGTTTTCAGAATTTTCCCATTCCACTCTGATGCTTGATCTCATTTTTACAGGGCAGTGATGTATGCAGGTACCTGGCTCTGCATCTGACCCTGGGTCATCACCAACTCTATTCATTTCAGTTTGGCTGTTGACACTCCTGTTAATGTTGCCTCAAGGTCTGGGTTGGCTATTCTTTGATGATGGTGGATCAGGGGACTCCATTGTTGTGGGACTTGCTGTGGTTTGGATCTACGTCCCCACCCAAATGTAATGTAATCCCCAATGTTGGTGGGGGGGGAGATGACTGGATAACAAGGGCGGTTTCTCATGGTTTAACACCAGGCCCCTTGGTGCTGTCACTGTGATAGTGAGCTCTCTGCACTCTGGTCATTAAAAAGCACCTGGCGCCTCCCCCTGACCTTGCTCCTACTCTGACCATGTGATGTGTGTGTTCCCTCTTTCCCTTCCACCATGATTGTACATTTCCTGACGCCTCCCCAGAGCAGAAGCCTCACGCTTCCTGTACAGCGTGCAGAACCCTGAGCCAATTAAACCTTTTTTTATAAATTACCAAGTCTTAGATATTTCTTTATAGCAGTGAAAGAACTGATTAATAGAGGACCCAAAAATGTAACAAAACAACAACACAAAATCTTCCAGTAAATAAATGTAATTGGGAAACTGAACAAGAAACAAGTTTAGAGCCATAAAACTATTAATGACACAAATAAGTGCTACTTACACAGGTGGACTATCACCACAATACTTTCCAATTCTTTTAGCGTCGTTGATTTCCCCACCATTAAACACAGCCACGTAATCATATCGGCAGTAGTTATCTCGCTCCACATCGAACTTCTCAAATTTTAATTCTATAAGCTTTAGAGAAAGCACAATAGAAGTGTCAAATATTAATAGCATTGTTGAATAACCTCAAATAAAATTCTTCCTCTCCCCAGATTTGGAGGATACTATAATTTTCCTTTGTAAAACAAAGTATTCATTATGTTTAAATGCTTTTTGTTGCATATTTCTTAGTTTAAAAAACTATGGTATTCTTTTGCTTTCAATTTTAATATTTTCAAAAGATCATCTCAAACTCAGATCAACTCCAGTTAGGATATTAAACAAGAATTCTGTTCACTTACAGCCACAAAA